GAAAAATAATATCAGATCCAAATACAAGATTCACAGGGTCCTTCTGGACTGAACTTATGAAAATGCTTAAAGTTAAACTAAACTTCTCAACAGCATTTCACCCACAGACTGATGGACAGTCTGAAAGAGCATTTCGCACACTTCAGGAAATGCTACGCTGTTATGTAAGCTACACTCAGAAAGACTGGGAAAAATATCTACCAAGAGTAGAATTTGCTTACAACAATCATGTCAACGATACTACTCGCCAAACGCCATTCTTTCTGGAGTACGGTCAACACCCGTTCGCAATATCTGATATACTCCATTCGGATATAAGCGAAAACATGCACTCAAGAAATACCTCTGCATATCGTTTTCTTCAGGAACTCTACACTGCAACTAAACTCGCAAAAGAATCAATCAACCAAGCCAAAGCAAGAAGCGCCGAAACAGTTAATAAACATCGAAAACAATTAACATTCAAGGTAGGCGACAAAGTTATACAATCAACCAAGAATCTACCAATCAATCCAGGGAGAACCAAGAAATTCGATCCGAAATACATCGGACCATTCACAGTATTGGAAGTCCTAGCAAGTGAGACTGCATACCGATTAGAACTACAATGTCAATACTGAAATATTCATCCAACATTTCACATATCGCTTTTGAAACCATACCAAGAAGACCCGAACAGACAACAAGAACCAAAGAAGTTCAAGATCCATACAACCGCAGACAAGAAACTCATTGAATGAATTATTACTCATCGCATATACGACAGACATGTACAGTTCCTTGTGCACTTCAGGAACATCAATCCAATTGACGACACATGGATAGACAAGGATGACCGTGCAATCACACAACAACTCATACAAACGTACAATGACCACCTATTCGCGGACGATTAATCGTTTGAAAAGGGAGGAGTTCTAAGATTAGGGCCCCTCTCAGCTCCCTGACAGACTGTAAAAAGGAGCTGAGCAGGACGGTGACGATGTATGTGACGTGTACAGTAATTTACACGTGCACTACAGTGCTCACCCCGACCGTCAGGTCGTCCTCTTCGCCAGAAGAATGGGGAATCTATAGAAAGAAAGAGTCCCCGAGGACGACCCGGTAAGCCTTAGCGGGATCCTTAGGGGATCCTGCGGGCGAGGAGGACCATGCAAAGATGGAGGGGGAGCGAAGATGTAGCCAGATGGGGTCATTTAGTGGGAATTTTAATAGGAAAGTTTATTTCTAGTGTAGTCTAGGCTACTCTACCTGTTGAGTAGCTACCTTCTAGAGTTCTATAAAGGTCCCGGTTCGGAGCGACGGGGAGTTGGAGAGGCAGGCACAACAACTGACTAACCACCGGAGCCCCCAACTTGACTAGGACAAAGCGTTAATTAGAACCTCTAAGTCAAAAACCCCAAAACCAACCGAAACTTTCGAAGTAAGTCAAACAATCCAAAAAATTGTTCACGTGTCCACTAGGCACGTGAAAGTAAGCCTTTCTTAATTCACATAATTACATTACACTGGTGTAATGATATCCACTTCCGATTGACAAGCATGTTGTCGACCGCGTCCTCGTGCGGATATTCCGCCTCGTGCATGTCGGGCATCATATCAGCACTCGGCAGAATATCTGCACTTATGCAACCCACACTTATGGACCGATTCAGTTATACCAACCCCTGTTTATTGAGACAGCCATTTCGCAGGAAATACTGCCCTATCGTCGGGCACAGTAATTCTAAACCAGTGATATTATTCTAACCAGATTTATTATTATTATTATTGTGAACTTCAACTTATGATAAATACGGCAAATTCGCTTTGGCTATATCTCCGAAAGTTTTGAGCGCAAACCGTTTGCACCTCCATATTTGAATTTCCCGCCTCAATGTTGACCGGGAGCTGTCCCGCCCAAATCAGAGGACCACAGGACAAAATCTTGCCACCACATTAGACGCATGGATCCATTCATGTGACATCCAAGTAACCTCCAGCGACTCGAAGCCATCATGATTTCATGATGGCGGAATCCTTGGGGGTGCTTAAGCACCCCCAAGGATTCCGCCACATTACAAAGGCGATGAAAGACTCAAGACTCAGAAACGCAAAACATGCTGTTGTCACGAAGCAATTTTCCCTTCGCGCGGCCGCCCGGCTGTTCGACGTTCCATGGTCGACATTTCCTCTTTACTATCACAACCCCATCCCTTCGCTGATCGGAACTGGACACCCTAACTCCCTCACAGCACAAGAAGAAAGCATTATCGTGAATTCAGCCATCGAATTCGCTCAAAATGGCAGCCCTCTTTCACGAGAATCTCTCAAGGATTTAATACAACACTTTTGCTAACATCTTCCTGTACACCGTCAGGCATCCATACCCTTCAAGGACCTGCGTCCCAGCGATGGCTTTCAGCCCGGGGGTTTTAAGCGCCATGAGCAGCTCTCCCTAAGACGGAGTTGTAACTTGGAACACGATAGATCAATTGCCATGTCCGTGCACAACATGGCGGAGTACTTTACCCGTCTGAGCCAGGTTTATCAGGAATACGGAATCACGCACGGCTCCCAGATTTTCAATCTGGTTGAGTCTGGGTTTTCTACGAGAACTGCACACAGATCCCGGGCAAAGGCTGTAGAAGAGAAGAAGGGAAGGTCAAACGCAAGAGAGATGAAGTGGTCAAAGAATGCCGACCATGTCACTGTTATGCCCATTGTATCAGCAGACGGCCGAGTATATGACTCAGTTGAGATCTTACGCGGGAAGCGTTCTAAGTGGAGGCTACGTCCCGATGGGACCCGAGAAACACCAGCATGCTTTTTGCCGGAGAATGCTCGTGTAGCATATCGAGATCCCGCTGGTATGGACACGGAGATTTTTAATGCGTTTGCGGAGTGGTTTGTGACAGCGACGACAGAGCCGCGGTCACGGCACCGCTATATTGTTTTGACGCTTGACGGATACGGGGCTCACAAGTCCTTCAAAGACTTGCAGCTTTTGAAGAACAATGATGTAGTCGTCATAGCTTTGCCTGCTAATACCAGCCATCGGACCCAGGTGTTAGACTACTCTATCTTTTCCCCATTCAAGAAGTATCTTCGAAATGCTCTAAATGACAGGGTACTTACCTCTGCAGAAAGTACCCGCAACGATGTTTATACATTATGCGATTTGGTGCATGACGCGTATAAGCGACCCTTAACCTACAGTAATATTGTTAGTGGGTTTCTTGCGTGCGGAATGTGGTGCCTGAGGCGCAAGCGCTCCGTCCCAGAAGTCATCAAGTTGGCTGACATAACTAATATCGGTGACCATCCATCTCGAGAGGCAGCTTTCCAATCTTTCCCCAGTTAACAGAAAGCTTTACCAAAACTCGTAACCTACTTCGCTCTGATGGGCCTGTCGCCGAGAATGGAACGCTCAATACGAAAGGTGGTTTGTTATTGACGATTCAGAATGTGTTGAATCACTTAGAATCTAGAGCTATCGCTAAGGAAACTGCAGCTGCGGAGAAGGCTGCTCGTGAATCCACGGCCTCGCGACACCGCTTGGAACGAGAGACTGAGGCGGAAGAGCGAGCCCGTGCTCGCCGCGGTGCTGAAGAAGCACGCATTTTGCATGTGACTTTGATGTCGTGGCGCGGTGTGAGGGCGAGAGTCTTGCTGGATTCAAGAGGACATCGAAGGGTGATTGCACGTCATCGTGCACTCGGGAAACTGGGGATACCGCCCCAAAATTAATAAAAAATGGTGTTTTATGCATGCGTCTTGGTTAGGAATTGTCTGAAAACAGCAACTCAGGGGTGGATTAAGCCCCACCTCGAACGAGGTGGTGTTACATCTGTTCTTTGATTGGGGAGGGCGTCTCCTCCAATATTGCATCAATAGAGGCAACACGTATGTCGACAAAGTTTGAGCACAAAGGCTCATCGGGAAGTACTATTTTCAATTAATATATGATTCTGGTTAAGAATAACGGTGGGGCTGATACGACGGAATCTGTTTCTATCAATACAAACGTCTCGGCGTTGCGGTTCCAACCGACTTGGTTTCATATCTTAAGTCAGTCTGAAACTGGAGTTATGCTAAAGAAACCCGAAAGGCCCCAAAAAATTTTGTCACGAAAGCCGCGCACAGGGCTAAGGGTACCCTTTTCACTGGCTCAATGTGGGACGCATAAGAAGTTATGATAAATATGCGAATGCAGTGCGTATTCGAAGAAAACTGCCTTTTTTTGGACGGGAGAATTGGTCTCCAAAGTGTGCCAGGGTCAAAGTGGGACGACGAGAAATTTCATGTCTTGCACGCTTCATCTGTAATGAAACCCAACAAAGCCGACGCTGCCGTGTGCTTGCGGGTCCTCAACAACTCGCCTTCCTCAACCTGCATCCGCTGTTTTCGGGCTCTTGGCCATTGCGAAATTGGCAAGTCCTCGCAAACTATGTCTTCGAGATGCGACACCGCAGACTGCGCTTTCAGACGTTTCTGAGAGTCAATATTTTTTTTGTTTGCAGTATCATTCTCTACATTAAACTCCTGAATGTGATAAACGTTGGGTACGGGCGCTTTTGGAGGATTCCGCCCCTCCAAACGAGCACGAACGGACTGCAAATTGCCAACCGTCGCTGCGTTTCCTGTTGCGAGGAATTTTCTATTAGATTTCTTAGGTGTGGGGTTCTTTGACAGGCATATATTCTTTCTCAGAATGTTGCGCAACACATAATCATTATTGGGAGCGACGGAAACCTCTGCAAAAGCATGAGCAGAAAACTGACCGTTTGTAAGAGCATGTGAATATGTTTCATCAAACGAATATATTTAATTCGTTGCGAAATAGTTTACCAAAATCATATGCGCGAAACTATGCGGCGCGGCATTATAATTTTGGTGTCACAATTTGAGCCTTGTCACAGATTGAGCCTGTGAGAAGGGTACTGGCCAACTGATGCACTCCTCCTGCTCACGGGCAGCCGCCCAGCCAGAGGGACTAGCTAGTGTACCAGCACGAGATAATGTTACTCGTCCCACCCATGCGACCTCAACCTTTCCCTACTTTTTCCTGTGCGAATGCACTACAGGAAGAAGGAAATTACTCATTCCGCTCCACCTTATCCCACAGAACACCTGCGCTCTACCCCGCTGCACAAGACCGTCGACCGCGTCGCATTCCGAAATCTGTCCGGACACATCCTCACAACAGAACAGTTGACACCGGCCTACACTGCCAACATACAAGCTATCCGCCCCCCCAAATCCAAATCATTCCACAACTCAACACCTACAACACCGCCCGACGACAAACTTCGCCCCTCGCATCAAGCCACCCACACTCTACAAGCAACTTAAAAGCCACACTCGAGCCCCAATTTAAAGCCTATATTCTCGTCGTACGATAACCAAGACCGTCCCATTACGCCAACTGCCATATCAATGCTCTCCCCGGACTCGCGCTTCAGTGCACCGCTGCACTTTCGCACAAGCCCGCCGCTTCCACTTTTTACCCCGCCCGTGACGCCCAGCTGCCATCTTCGCCATAATGGCACCTCATCTAACCGTCGTAAGCAGAGCACGAATACTCCCCCCTCGCGACACCGTTGTTCCCGGTGTGGCCACTCCGGCCATAACGTCAGGCGTTGCCCGCAGGCTGCCGTCCCGGAGACTTCCCTCGCCCGAGGCGGCGGCAGCTGGTTCCAGCAGCGCTGCTCTTCGTGTGGCAAGGCCGGCCACAACGCCCGCGCCTGCCCTGAGCGACTGCGCCGCGAGTGTCATATATGTCGAGGGACAGCGAAACTGCCGTGCTCGAAATGCGACGGCAGCGGGTTTGCGGAGGGAAGGGAGTTGATGAACGTAGAGGTGAAGAAGGCGGAGGTGGGTGGGAGAAGGGAGAGAAAGGTCGTGTGGTTAAGCCCGGAGCAGAAGAAGATGGCGGACGCGGCGCGGAGCAGGGCACGCTTTGTCGGCGTGGCACTGGAGAGGGAGGAGTTGGTGGGCGGGGAGAGCGTGGAGAGGATGCGAACGGTGAAGAAGACGGTGACGTTGGAGAATCGATGCGCTAGGTGCCTAGGGAGGGGCTTTCTCAGCTGCATGGCGTGCAGCGCTGATTGAAAGTTCCATACGTTTTTTAAACCCGCCTGATCACCCCCAAATTATCTCATCGAGATTGCTTTCCCTGGCAGATTGCATCTTGCGCCACATCGAACCCGCGCCCTTTCGCGCCGCCCCGTTTCTCCATCTCCGCGCACCCAATCTCCTCCACCGCCATGAGCCGTACCGCCCCCGCCATCCACCCTTGGCGTCACCGCAACCGCCCGCCCCCTTCCAACCGCGCCTCGCTCTGGTTTGCCGCTATCAAACCGCCCATGTACACCGTCGCAATTACCCCCATCCTCGTCGGCTCCCTCGCCGCGCATGCCGAGACCGGCTTCCTTTCTCTTCGCACTCTCTGTCACTTTCTTCTTTCCGCCGTTCTCATCATTGCTTGGCTCAACATTACCAATGACGTCTTCGACTATGACGCAGGAATTGACGGCAACAAGCCAGAGTCAATCGTCAACCTCTGCGGAGCCACCCGCACCGCCCGGAACACGCTCTTTCTTATTGCCAACGTGATCCTTGCCGCAGGTTTTGCCTGCCTCGCGAAACTCTCAAAAACGGGCGGCCAATTTGATCCGACAGTCCCTGCACTCATCTCCGTCGCAGTCGCTGGCGGTTACGTGTACCAAGGCCCACCCTTTCGCCTGAGCCACTACGGCCTCGGGGAGCCCATTTGTTTCGTCACCTGGACCATCTCCGTTGCCGCCGCCTACTACTCGCAACTCGCCACTTTCCCGCCCTTCGCCCGCCTCGTATTGCTGCGCCACCCCAAGCTGTCGGCGCGCATGCGCTACGTCCTGCAGGAACTTCTCTTCTCGTCCCACCATTACCTACTCGCGGCAGCCTTCCTGGTGGCCACGCCCACCGCTCTCATCCTTCTCTGCTCACACTTTCACCAGCTGGACGACGACAAGCTCGCCGGCAAGCGCTCGCCAATTGTTAGGCTGGGGACCCTGCGCGCTTCTATCTTGCTTGAAGCCGCACTTTTCGCATTTATGTCGGCGCATTCTGTGTTTTATGGCATGGGGATGCTGCCCGTACGGCCCTTCTTTTTGTCACTGTTGGCGATTCCCAGCGGGGTCAAGCTCGGTGCCTTTGTGCGCAAGAACCATCAAACGCCGCATGCGGTAAGACCGGCCAAGTACCATGCTGTTAGGTTCCATTTTGTGCATGGCATTTTGATTTCAATCGGGTTTTGGCTGACCACGCCAGCTGCACGCTCTGCATGGTGACTGCTTTTGTCATGCGAAGTTTGTTACAGACCCTACTTCTGCTTTAGGGGTTCTGGATGCAACATCTTCCCCTAGTCAGGTTTTCGTCGCCTTGGCTGTCGAACGCATCACATATGTAAAGACTTACTACAACTAAAATCACGTCCAGCGAGTGATTTCGCTTGCATCTGCTGATGGCATGTAAAGATGCACGGCTTGCTACCACAAAGCAAAAAGAATAAAGCAGTGCTATCAGCACTTTTTAGTATAGCCACACTCCAACACATTCTCAAGTGTTCGGACGCAGCCGTCCAAGCATCGAACTCACATCTTCAGATGGCAGCCTGGCCGATGGCGCATACATCGACTCAAACGCATCAAATGTGACATTGCACGCCCTCGGGTCAAGCAAGCTCTTGACACAAATTTCCGCCACATCCGCCCGACTAATCGCGCCCGATACATCCCCGTCCTGCTCCAGCATGATCGCCTTATTGCCACCCGGTTGGTCAGTGAACGACCCCGGGCGCACGATGCAGTACGTCAGCCCAGACAACCGCAACCGGTTCTCCGCCATGTATTTCCAAGCCGCGACGTCGTCCTTCGCGACAGCCCGCAAGCCCTTCTCGTCGAGCTCGGAAAAGTCCCGCGCCGTCACTGATGCACAAGATAGGAGCACAAAATCGGGCTGCTCCTGCGTCCGGTACGCCTTGAGATAGTCGACGCCGAGATAAAAGCGCCCGTCATCCTTTTCGGGCGACACGACGGGTTTCCGGAACTGGATCGCCATCTGCCGAACGTCTCCGCGGTCCAGCTCGGGGGCGTCCCGTCTCCGGGAGTGATCTTTAATGTCATACGCCTTGAACGACGAGATCGGAATCCTTAGCGACCCCCACTTGTTCTTGTATGACTTGATCTGCGCGCAGTACTCAACGCCCTCTCGGACCCCAGCCCCCGTCCTCAACACGATGAAATAATTCTTGCCGTCGCCAATGCACCGCAACAACAAACCCGAGAAGCCGCGAAGATTAAGGCGGGACGGGATCGTACGAACCTCTGCCATGCCTTCGTATTTGCTGAACACATGACCCATAAACGCGACGCGATTCGGCCCCGTGATCTGAAAGTTGACCCTTGGGGGCTTGGCGCCCTCTTCGCCTTCCTCCGGCACGACGCGTTTCCACTTGCCCAGATCGCCTTCATCCGCGAAGTTAAATAGGACCAACTTGGTAGCCTCAGCCCTTCCATAATACTGGACCCTCGAGTCCTGATATGCGCGAATCAAATTGCCTACACCTTCATATTCAATCGCCTCGGCCTCCTCCACACTCCTTGACCCCACGGCACAGACCACTTTATCGACATCGCCCGTCGCTTCGAGCAGCGAATCATAGTCGTCCAAGCTGCCCTTGACAAAGCTCACCCCTGTCCCCAGCAGATCCAGGGTCGAGCTGAAAAGATCGCGGACTAACACGCGCACATTGTAGCCACGCAACACAAGCTTGCGAACAATGACGCGGCCTGTTTCTCCAGTGGCACCAGCGACCAACACCTCAGGCGGCTGGTCATCCTCCTCGAAGAGCATGTCGCGGTCGACGTCGAACATCTCATCAGAATCGGGGCTCAGGCCAGTGGCGCGACGGATGCCGGCCAGAAAATCGCGGGCGGCGCCCAATGGGCCTTTCGGCTCAGCATCTTGCTTGGGGCCGCGGACGGGAGGGGGGCCGGCTGCGCTTGCACGTGGGCGGCTCGACGGGGAGGAGGGGCGGCAACCGCATCGGAGTGGGGGGGCGAAGCTGGATGTCCGTAGTGCCGCAGGACCGGGGACAAAGGCGGCGTGGAGAGACATTGTCCGGATGTGAGGCAGTGGGGTGGTTAGGACGAAGGGAGTGGGCTGGGGGTGAGAAGAGTGCATGTGAGTGTGAGCAATGGGTGGGATGGTGAGAATGTACGGATTTGGGGAAAGGCGTAATCTGAAAATCTCGACTTCACGAGCACCGCGGATCATATAATTTGGAGAACGAAAAGGCACGCAATTTGGTCTCAGCCGAATTTATTGGTACACTTGTCGAAGTTTTGTTCGCATGAAAGCAAAATTTTGCATCGGTTGAGCCTCACGGCGAAAAGCAATTAAAAAATTACAAAGCCCTCAAAATGAGAACAACAGGGTGCTCTACCAACGATACAACATGCGGGCTCTCCATCTTCTATCAAATGCTCTAAGAAATCGTTCAATTACAATGAATGAGAATAGCATACTGCCGTACCGTGGAATGCTTTCTGTAGAGCAAGCTTTGGTGGCTTTTCCCTCGAAGCTTTTTTAAAACCTTGTCTATCTATGCCCTTTTGGTTTTCGCCAAAGCACTGTCTAGATAAAAAAATGAGTGCTGTCGGTTGGATCCAATTTCGGGTTTGGCTTCGACTGGCAGGTCAATTCTATACACTCTTTAACTAAAACAAAATAAAGCAAACACGCACACGTACGTAATTGTCGATCTTTCACAAATGCAACTATCAGCAATGGTAGTTTTTCTCCAAAAACTTACGCACAACTTCGTTTTCACCAAAAACGCATACTACACATTCCAAAGTGTTTCGCCCCCATTCTTAGATGCCATCCTACTAGATCAACAGTTTTACATATTGACTACCGTCCATCAACCACCAGGAAAAACCCCGCATAGCTGCGTGCAAGCATCAATATGCCTCCGATAAGAGCAAGAGCAAGAGGATATACAAGGAGCGAGAGCGTGTTCCACCAAAACCTCACCACAGCAGACCGTGAAGAACTACTCAAATTGCAGACCTTGCGTGACATTCCCAAGTCAAAATATGCAACGCAGTCTTGCTTGACTGGAATTCCGTCAGGACGCAGCCGGAAGATCATCTACTCTCACGTAGAGATTTATAAGAATGTAGAAGAGATTGCTACTGATCTCCGCGAAGCAGGTGTTCGTCCACAATCAGTCTGTGCTTTTATTCTGCACAATTCCATTGAAGCGGTTGTTTACATACAAGCGTTGCAGTGGATTGGAGCCATTGCAGTTCCTATCGACCCTGGGTTATCTGAACAGGACATTTCCTTGGTGTTGAAGCACACCAAGGCCTTAACTGTTGTTTCCAAACTTGTTGATGAGGAAGAACAAGCAAGCGATGAACTCTTTCAAAAGATAAGGGCTGCTTGTGGACCGATTGAGTTGATTGAATGGTACATTGCACGCTCCACAAATAGGGGAGTGTTTCTCGATCGAAAGGACCGTCGCGCTGGAGAGGGAGCGGCATGGGCAGGCGGGGCAGGCGATTTCAAGTACGATCCTTCGGAGACGTCTGTTCGTCTGACGACTCCTGATGGAAGCGACTGCCTTTCCGTTGATATAACTCATCGCAGTATCACGACGGCCACCAGAGAGTTTTCTAATACTTACAGTCTGACAGCAGAAATGTCGACGTTGCTCATTTTCCCGATCCATTCTATACAGGGTTTGTTGTGCGTGCTCGCAAGCATGTACTCTGGTGGAAGTGTTGCAATTCGTGAGGGGAGCACTATTGAGCCAGAGAATATCCTCAAGCTTGCAGCAGACTACAAAATCAACTGGTTCTCAGCGAGTCCAGACATTGTTCTTTCTGTGTACGCATATGTTTGCCGTGACTCTTCTGTTCTGAAAAATGTCAACCTTTCGTTCATTCGTTCTGTTGATGGAACGATTCCAGAAGCCCAAATGCAAGCCATCGAACCGGCGTTGAGAACACCTGTTTTGGAGGCATATGGAACTTCAGAGACTTGTGGTATGGTTTCTGGGAGTAAAGACGTTGATTTTCGTCCAGGGGCTTGTGGACAAGCAATTAACGGATGTGAAATCATCATTTTGGACGCAACAGGAAAGGCTGTGTCCCCCACGACAGTAGGAAGGATCGCAGTCAGAGGGGTGCATATCTGCAAGGAATATATTGACAACGACGCTGCGAACAAGGAACGCTTTGTTGAGATAGCGGACGGAGACAGTTCCAAACGGTACTTTCTTACTGGAGACGAGGGCTTCCTTAGCAAGGACGGGTATCTATCAGTTACAAATGATGCCCGTTCACGTAAAAATGTCCCTCCGATAGTCCCCCTGACGCAGAAGGAGAATCTTAAGAATGCTGAGGAAGAGAAGGTGGCTGACGAGGCCCGTAAAAAAGCCGAGGAAGAGAAGAGGCTTGAAGAGGAAAAACGTTTACAAGAAGCGGAGAAACGTCGTCTTGAACAAGAAGAAGAATCTAAAAGACTGGCCGAGGAGAAAAGACAAGTAGAGGAGCACGAAAAAGAAGAAGCACGTCTTCGAACGGAGCAATCTGAAGTACGCGCATTAGCATCTATAGCAAATGATGACGACGATGACAGCTCTTCCAATCAAGCATCCAGATCCTTATCCTCCTCCCGACGAAGCTCCTCTCGAATTAACGAAGAAATGTTCAACATGATCATGGAAAGGCTGGATGGCATCGAGCGAAACCAGAGACGGCTCGAAGTCGACGTCGAGTCTGCGCATCGCCAAGAAATGGAAAGGCTGCGAGCCCTGATGGAGAAGTATGAGCAACGCGAAGCGACATCCCCTACTGCGAACCTCAACATGGACGTCATCAACAAGGCTGTTAACGCCGCTGCCGCCTCCGCTCAGAGCTCGAGCCGAGACACAGCCGCCGCAGCTCAGGCCGCGAAGGACGCCGCGGAGGCGGCGGCCGAAGCACGCGCGGCAGCTATAGTAGACACGTCTCCAAACGTGCTGGAAGTGGCGGACCCCGGCGCGGTACAGAAGACGGTGCTCGTCTCGCTAGATGACGTGGAGAAGGCGATGAACATGCATCCTGCCGTTGCGATGTCACGTGCATTCGGCCGTCCGGATAAGCGTTATGGCATGGAGGTGTTCTGCGCGATCAACCCCAAAGCAGGGGCCCGTGTGAGTGAGCCATGGCTGAAGCTGCATGCGCAGACGGTGCTTCCGGCGGCGTTCGTACCGAAGCAGTTCTTTTTCAAAGAGGATTTGACGGGAGATGAGGAACGCGCAACACTTTCCAACGAAAAGCAATTGAAGCGGATGTCTGCGTATGCTGGGTTTAAGAACGCGTCCAAAGTGGTCAAGCAGCCAGAATGGACGGCGGCGCAGGCAAAGGAGACGATCGCGTTGGCAGCACAGTCGAAGGGGAAGATGAATGCAAGCCCAAATAGTAACTCTGGCTCGGGGAGGATGTCTGGAACGCAGTCGGCGGTGCTGACGGGTAACAAGACTGCTTCCACGGGGGTTGCCTAAAGTAGTTGTGCTGCTGCTGCTGCTGCAGTTTTCGATAGTATAGGACCCCGATCGTAATCGCGGACACGTTCAGTAGACGTGGACGGTTCCAAGCATGTGGTAAATTTGTTTTGTTTTAGTAGCGTGGGCGTCGTTGCTAGGTGCCGTTGGCGTGCTCGAAGAACAGCGAGATAAAGGATGGCGAACAGCTGCGTAGGTGTGTCGCGTGAAGCGATTAGATAGGGACTTTGTACAACATGTTAAGGTCTTCCGCGGCCAAACGTGCCATGGCGATGATACAAAAATAGCCTGTTGGCGATAAAATCTCATCACGAAGGGGTTTGCTTGACAGCCTTCTTGTTCAAATCATCGTATCCAAGAATGGTCATGCTGCAAGTGATAACTACGACAAAGTTGATGATAAAGCGAAGCGCCATAAACCACACGAACAACTCGACAAAACTTGTCTGCTTCGCAATTACAGCGGCGAGGTATATGTCAGCAGCCGTGTACACCATACTGAACGGGAGAATAAAAGGCTCCACACTGGGATGCTTTGCGGAGACGGTCATCTTGAGCCAAGCGGCTGTGATGTCCAGGGCGGCGGCAGCCATGAGGGTGAGAATGTGCTGGGGAAAGGAGCGCGTGGCGAGGACGTGGAGAGCGTTGGAAGCGAAGAGGCTTGCGGCGGAAAGCGCGAGGAAAATGCCCTGGCGGGTGTTGGGCGTGCGCAAGGCGTGCACAGAGAAGGCAAGCACGGTACGAAAGGGTACCGCGCATAATAACAGAGCGACGGCATGGAACGGAAGAGCGTTCCCCGGCGGTTGTAGCGCGGCGTGAATGAGGATGGAGACGGTGAGTATGGCGATGCAGTGACCTGTTTAAAGGTAGGGGGCATGACAAGACGGGGAAATCGACGAGTTAGCTCTGGTATGGGGGAAAATGTGCGAAAGAAGACAAGGACGGACAACAGAACGCACCCATCCACAGGCGCCAGGCGATGGAGGAGCGGCGATGGCGCTGCTGGGCCTCAAGCTTCGGGGCGTCTACCTCATCGACCTCGCTTCCGACACTATCGTTGTTGAGCTGTTCTCTCTCGGCGGCAGCCTGGGCCTCTGCCATGGCCTTTGCAGCGCGGCGCGTGACGACCATAGCAAAGTTTTTTCACTGATCAGGCAGGTAGAAGTGGCGACGGTCAACACAAGCGGACAGTGTCCGGTGAAGGAGAGAGGTAGTGAGGTCGGGATGGTAGGGGGCTGCCAGCAGCGCCGCTGCTGACCTGTGCCCAATATGTCGCGCCACGACTCGACGTGTAAAATCACTGGCGCTGCTGGCCATGGGCCAACCAATATTTTTTTCTTTCTGACGCTGCCGCGGCTACTCGTTGCCGGTGTGTTCGCCTTGGCCGCGCGTGCGATCGCGCAGCTGGCGCGCGCGTAGCGCAGCGGCTTCCGCACTGCTCCGTCGCGACGCCTCCAGCGTCTCGTATGTGAGCTCGCGCTCGTCGTAGTACTTCTTCCGACAGACGACCCTGCGCGTCGCAAAGGGGAATCGCGTCCGGTTAGCACACAACGCCACGCCTCGTCCCGTTCGCCACTGCGGGCCTCGTTCGCGTGCACCACGTACCAGCTCAGCAGCGAGACGGCGCACCCCGTCTTAATCATGGTCTCCGCCGCGCGCATGGGGTCTTCTACAGTGCGCGCGAGGGGGGAGAGGGCGTCAGTGACCGCGGCGCAGGCGGTGCTCGCGGGAGGGAGCGGGAGGGAGCGGGAAGGGGATGCGTACTGTGTCTGTGCAGGTTGAGGGCGGCGATGGCGGCCCCGCCACCCAGGCCCGTGAGCGCGCTGGTGCGGAAGCACGGGGCCGTGGAGAGATCGTAGAGGAACGAGAGCTCGGATGGGGACGTGCTCGGCGCGGGCGGGGGGGCCGCGGCGCCGGTCTGCGGATCTGTCATGCCGGGGGGCGGAGGGGGCGGAGGGGGCGGAGAAGGGCCGTATCTGCGGGCGTCTGCAGGGATGCGAACCGCGTGTTGCGGGCCGCGCGGAGAGGGGCTCTCGAAGGCGCGGGGGGGGGGGGGGGGTCGGATGCGGCTCGGTTAAGGGTGGCGGTGGCGGGTGGGAGCGAGGAGAGAAATTGACGATGGCGGCAATGGCGGCAATGGCGGCAATGGCGGCAGTGGCGGAAGGTGCTCGTTCGTGCAGAATGAGACGGTCTGGTTTTCGATGCAAAACTGTAAAATTTTGCAAAACTTTCCGATTCGGCCAACCCTAGCTGCTAATTGGCCTGCGCCCACCCCGGCCGGCGCCCTTTGTCTGAGTCATCGTCCCTTTCACCGTCAAACTTTCTCTTCGCTATCGCCTTCCCACCGAGACTACGTGCATTTCCTCAGCAACCACATCCGCATTTGCACAATGGTAAGTTGGCGTTCGCGATCGCATCTCTCCGGGCCTCCCTCTCCCACCCTGCCCAATTCCGCGCGCGACAGCCGCCCAGTTTTCTAACATCCGATCTCACGCACGGCATCCCCACAGACCTTCACTCGTTTTGTCGAAACCGGGCGCGTCGCGATCATCAACTACGGGCCGCACGTGAACAAGCTTGTGATAATCGTGGACATTCTAGACCAATCGCGCGTCCTCGTGGACGGCCCCACCTGCGGGCTGCGCCGGCAAGTGTTCAACGTCAAGCGGCTTGCGCTGACGTCGATCAAGGTGGACGGGCTGGAGCGCGCCGCGGCCACGGACGTCGTCAAGGCCGCGTACGAGGCGGCTGACGTCGACGCGACCTTCGCCAAATCCGGCTGGGGAAAGAAGATCGACAGCAAGGCGAAGAGGGCCGCCCTCGACGACTTTGGCCGCTTCAAGGTCATGTGCGCACGTATTCAGAAGGGGAAGAAGGTTAGGGAGCAATTGGAAAAGCTTAAGACAGCCGCGTAAAAAGGGATCTCGCTTTCTTTTTTTTTGTCTCGTGCTTGTTTATCGCGTGCGTGCGGGCAGAGGGAGAGACGGTGGGGTGAGCGTGTGTGTATGTCCCGATGCGACCCGCGAGCGACGTCGAGATACGCGCGGCGATGGTTACGCACTTGTGGGGACTTTGGGGGCCTACAAAGCAAACGGCAGTCTTGTCATGATATGCTCAGCTCTGAACAAAAGTAGAAATACAATATATTACGTAAGACGTAGGAAAAGCAAAGTCTCCATACACGCACACCTACGACGATGGTCTCCTCCTCCACCACCCCCTCTCCCTCCCCCCTTCCGCCCACTGCCTGCTTCCCTCCGCGACAGCATACTCCAGCTGCCTGCCGCCCCTCTGGGCGGCGGCCTCGATATGGCCGGCGAGCGGGGCGACGACGTCATTAACGGCGACGACCATCCTCGCGGTGGCGGTATCGAGGTTTGCCAGCACGGTTTCCGCGGCGCGATCGACCTGGCGCTCGCTGTTCAGAAACAGCGGGCGCACGACGCCGGCGTAGAGCTCTGCGGCATTCTCCGCGTCGCGCCTGGTGAGCCAAGTGACGGCGGCAAACATGGCGGCGGTGTACACCGTGCTGCCGGGCAGGACGACGGCGAGGGTGGAGCGCAGCACGCCGTCGGCCGCGAACAGCAGCGCGGCCATGACCCAGTAGGTCTGCCAGTTGCGCAGGGCGGCGGCGCGGGCGGGGTCGGCGGCGGCGGCGGCCGCAGGGAGGTAGTTGGCGTCGCCGTCGTCGTCGTCGTCGTGGAGCGCGTCGACGACGACCGCGGGCGGCGACTCGAGGGCCTTGAGCGTGCGCCAGGCCGGGGCGAGCAGCCCCACGACCAGGATGGACAGGCGCAGGAAGAGCGAGAGGAAGGCGACGGCGACGGTGGCGACGAGGGCCAGGATGACGACGTTGCGCATGACCTTGTCCCAGCGGCGCGTGAGCGGGGACGCGGGCGGGGCGTGGCGCGAAGCGCGCGACATGGAGCGCGTGCACATTAGGGGGGGCGATGAAGGCGGGGATGGGCGGCGCGTTCGGGGGCGGGTGCGCATCGGGACGCGGTTGTCTGTGGTGGGTGGGATGGGAGAAGGAGTGCGAGAAGGATTGGGAGATGGAGTCGGGTTTCTTATGTGAGAGAAGGCGGGAGGGAACATGGCGGGTGGGAATGTTCGGTACTGGGGAATGAGTTGCGAAAGGAATGGCTCGTGGTACGTGTGGGGCGTGTACACGTGTAGAATTTGAAGGCAGGGATGTGGTGTCGTCGTGGGCACAGTGTGCACGTGTGAGAATGGGTTGTGGTTTCGGAGGAAGCGTAGAAAAGTCGGCCGTAGAAATGGGGGGGGGAAATGGCGTAGTAACGTGTAAAGCGTGTGCACGTGGTGCTCGGCGGGATAGTTTTGTGGATAAGCGGTCGATTTCTATGTTTTGATTTATCATCTCACCTCATCATTGTTACCTTATATCTCTATGTTTTCTTTTCTATCCCTATGCTCCGGTTTGTGACGATTTCGGGCGTCACAATAGTTTGTGACGTTTTGGGACATTTTGCGGTGACTCACCCTCTACAGGTTGGACCAGTGCCATAAATAGGTGCAGTGTCCTTACACCGTCTCCAAATTCACACTCAAACTGTGATTGGTTTAAGAGATGAGATACTGATTGTGACGGTGGGTTGGAGCGTGTCGCTCAATCGTCTCCAACCTCACAAAAATGATCAAATTCTCTCTTTTTGTGATGCCTGTTTGAGACGTGAGAGGTGACTGTTCCACACCAGGTCGCATATCTCTTCAAAAAACGTGCTCGTCATCTCAAAAAGTACCCCTTCTCTCACATCTCTTCAGTATTATGTCCCAAAACCGCCCCTGAGACCATTTCAGGCCCGCTTTCCAGGAGCAGCTTCCTTCAGCATATGTTATGCCCAGGAGACATATCAGCTATGATGAACATAGCCCCAATCCCCGATTATTCCGGGGAGTCGGAAGGAGAGATACTGAGGACATACAGGCTGCCGCTGGTGATGCTATTCCTCCAGAGTCTCAGCCAACGATTACGGCTCAGCAGCACTACCCCGAAAACCAACTGGGGCTTGTAGACCTCTACGATACGAGTAGCACTGCTTCGCGATCCGAAGAAGGTGTTCTGGACAGCTCGGGAGGCGTTGGAGATATTATTGTCGATGAAGGCGTGTCAACTGACCACATATCGCCAAATGTTTCCCCTCGTGCGCCTGTTCAGACCACAGAATGCCATCGAAGCTCTGCCAGTCTACCATTGGACGATTCCAACTTTCAGAACACGCCTCTGAGAAGTGGCCAGGCGCCCCCAGTGTTTTTGCCTGCAGAGGCTTTTGTTCACGAATCTCCCAACTCAGACTTGCAGTTCTCCTCCTCTGAAGAGCTCTTTCTACCCGGTTCAAGTTCCGCATCTTCTCAAGCTAGCAGTGCGCCGTTCGTTGAGCTCGAAGAGTTTGAAACTACTGTGTCGCGTCAGGAAGTGCACGAGCTAGGCCGTTCATCGTACATGGCTACGTTTTGCGCCACCGGGGGAGAGTCTGGCGCTTCTCTTTGTGAAGATCTCGATAGTCGCATCTATTACGATTTCGACGATGAACGTTTTGCGGTTGGTCCCTGGGAGGACGTCCAAGAGGAAGACAATTTATCTCTTCGGGCCACTGTTACGCCTGAAGAGATAGAAGCGCGTGCGCAAGCGCAGAGGACGGGGGGGATGGACACCTGGCAGTACGACGATCCGTTTGGAGAGATCTCTGTCAGGTTGGATGACGTGAATGAAACGCTAGAGAAGCGTTTCGTTATGGAGGCTAACGAAGTGCTGGACAAGGTTATTGCGGATGTGGAGACTAGGACCGTGGAAGAATTTGATGAACGCAACGAGGAAGTGAACTTGACGCCATTGAGCTGCGTGCAGACATTCGTTTCCGACTGTTTGTTGGAGAAGTTACGATACGGTGCAAATCGAGTTTTGTACCAACAGGGGAAGGCAGGCACGACGAAAGAAGAGCTGCTGGGTCTACTTATCTTGCATGTCCTTTGTGCCGCTTATGGAGAATCAGCAAGCACACTTCGTGACGTTTCTAAAGGTGACTTTTTCTTTCAAATGGGAATCAAAGCTGATAGATACCACTCGGTGTGGGGTGCCCTTTGCGGCACAAAGGAAAAAAGGAGCACCTACGACATGTCTGCTACGGGCTGGTCTCGCACAGCGAATAGGGCTACGACTCTCATTGCAGAGGTCGAAGCGGAGACTGCGGCGATTAACAGAGAATTTCTCTATGTTCCCAACGCTACCGTACTATCTCTCGACGACGACCATCTGAGAATGGCGTCGCGAGCAGTAGTCGATCTCACCTACTTAAAGCAACTAAACAACCCGAAGAAAGGACTCGGGCCTGTTGGGAACGCATTATGCAGTGCTCTAAATCCCTTCTTCCTGGCATGTCACTTTTCGCGTAGCGGCGAGAAGCTATTGCATACGTGGGAGAGATTGGCTCAGCTTCTGCAAGGGGTATCTACTACAGGGGCTCTACGTCCTATGCCTGACGCCATATTTGCGGCAGACAGAGGATATAATTCTAAAGAGACAATTCATTTTGTGTCTGAGGTTCTCGGTGCTAGCCTTCTAGGCACGCACGAGAGAGACTTGTGGTATCCCTATGTTTTCGGTGACGGCCCGATTTCCCGTCGCCATAAAGGTATGGTGGTGTCGGAGAACGGCTGTCGGGCCGTGTACACGGCAAGATATAAGAACGGTAGTAGTCGAACCCCCGCGGCCCGGGGCGTTGAGGCCTGCGTCTATCGCGAAAGTTGCTCTGGGCGTGTAGCCGCCCTTGTTCACAACAACGCGTCTTTATTTCCTTCGAGATGCTTCACTATCGTCTTCCGCGACAAGTATCGAGAGGAAGCGGCTACTAGGAAACTGGACTCGGCAATGATTGTTCATGACGTTCCCCCAACAAGCGAATGGGACAGTAGACGACACACGAGGTCCCAAGTTCAAGTGGTGCCACCAGCGAGCGGTAAGAGCCGCGTAGAACAAGTGTTGGCCCGCGTCACACCGCTAACCTATTTGCAGTCAGAGGACCCGGTTTGGTTCCTTCTGCGTGCATTTAGATTCACGTCGAGGACTGGGCACGGGTTTGTTGCCGCTGTAGTGCGGGACTATGTCGCTTCTATGAGAGGTCTCGCTGCCCTGCTTCGCGGCAGAACAATCGTCGAAGGCGTGCAAGCGCTCAGTGACGACGAGGGCGACGTGCGGTTACTACTCATGGACAAGTGGGACCAAATTGCCTGGGTCCTGGGTATGAATCTGACCGACCGGCCCAATCCTTCAACACGCCGCACAGTAGCAACCCGACTAGCAGAAATGACCCCCTCCCGCATTGCATCAACCACGAAGGCTGAATTGCAGCAGATGTTGTCCACTTTTGACAGGGGACTGGAGCTACGGGTCCCGAAGTCCGAGCTCGTCGCTGCTGTGAACCAGCTGAAGGCCGACATAGCCAGTAATTTAGTTGAGCTGGACTCCGAACTGAATGATGACGACGGCAGTGCATAACAGCGCAGTCATGCTGCTGCGCAGCGTGTGTGCAATGCCCTTCGAGAGGCGTCACTTGAAGCATGGGTGATGAAGCCCCTTGTCGCGACAACTGGAATGCGAGAAGGAACTCGCAATGAAAACAACATTGTTGAGGCACTACCGGCGTTTCTAAAGAACTGTGGCGGAGCGTATAGGTGTCGACTAGGCTCACCTAATTTTCAATGGGATGAAACCTTTGCCTGCGAAGTTAAACACGTCCGGTGCACAGGACTTCTAGAGAACCGTCGATGCCCGATGTTGGCCGACAGCCCTGACGCATTGCTGTCTGCCGAGGATGAGGAAGGGGATCATGACGTCTATGCAGTAGAGGTTAAAACTATGACGTCGATCAGGACCATTGAGAATGCAAAAGAACTCGCTGGAATATATGGCTCTGTGGTTGCTCTGGAAAACGTGGGCGTCAACGCCCAGTCTACTGAATTGTTCAGAACGCTGGTGCCTACTGTACAATATAGAAGCCAGGTTCTACACCATGCGGCCACGCTAGCAATCAACAAGGTCATGTATGTGGTCGGAACAGGTGGCTCTATTACAGACGGTCGTATACTGTACGTTCGTATGGTGTCATTCTCGGAGACATTCAGACACTGCTATACTTTCACCATGGATTGTGTCCGAGTGGCTGCCTTCCAGTGGATTGGAGAACCCACGGAAATCATACCGAAAGAGTACGATGTTATGCTCAAGACGTCACACGCGTCCGACCTATACGGCTTTGCGTCATACTACGGCCTCAGCCAAGCCATCAGAGGAGAAGTGCTACGTCGAAGGGAGCCTATTCCACCCTCCAGGATGATAAGGCTGACGCCAGCAGTATACTGGAACAATCTGAAGGGTGGAGTAGATGTGATATCCAGATATTTGAGAACTCTGGCTAGAAGCAACATGAGCGAGCACCCGGTGGTTTCTATCATAGCACGTCTTCTGTCTATGCAGATTAATAATGCTGCAGTTGCATACAGACTTCACGTGGCAAGGAGAACTCAAGTTTTGCCCGGTTTGGAGGATGCTGAAGTATCATATGGGCAGGGTTACGCTGCACTGCGTCACAAAGTGACGCAATGCATTACGTTTGGCTCGTTCGCTCGGGAGCTCGCCAGGGAGTGGTTGGAGAGGTATAGTAAGGAGAACGGAGGTCTTCTTGATGAGAATGGAGATAACGAGTCTGGAAGGATCAAACCACTGTTTACTAGAAACGCTTCAGAAAGGTATAACATTGGGACGCACAAGGCCCGACGCTTGAACAGAAGAATAGCACACAAAAAGGTCTCTGGACCTTCCACTTATTGTGTTCTTTGTTCCTGGTCACTACGGGGGAGAAAGACGGAAAGATCAAGATTAAGCGAAAGGGCTCAAGGCAAATACAGTGGTGTCGAGCGTGTAGGCAGGCTATATGCACTGCGTGTTGGGTAGACTGGCACTCGAAGGACACCTTAAAGAGAGGCAGACCTACTGCTAGTGAGAAACGGGCATTTGATCGTAGTTTACGTAGTGTTAGGCAGCGCGATACTTAGAACTCGTAAACAATTTCCTTCATTGTAGGATGAGTTTGATGACTATTGTTGATGTTGTACCTTCTAAGTACACTCCCTGGGTGATGAAGGGCACTACAATTCGGAGAGCTCAATATTTTGTCTACAAATGTGCTGTTCCGGAGAGCACTGTTCGTTCGTTCATGAGACACTGCCATTGGAAAGGAAGACGTAGAGCACGACTTTGAATACTTTTTGTGATGCTTTTGACCCAGTGTTCGAAACGGTCCACAAAAAAAAGTTTAATATTCCGCCATTCATCAAAGGATCCACGTCACCGAACATGCTTTACACTCTCGTGACCGGGAAGTAAATGCCTGTCGAATGAGCATGATCCCGTCTCTTAACTCAGAGAATTAGAGGAGCTAGGGATTTATGTCCCGAAAGGGGCATAAAATTTCGTCACAATAATCGAGCATAGGGCTATGGCCGCTTCGCATAAGGCTGCATAACCCTTATGGTTTTTCTTTGGTTTGTATGGACTTTTTAGTGATTTCATCGTCGTTTTTTGAGTAAGACAATGCTGTACTCACGAGGTGTTTTTTGGAGTCCTAAATTGTTCTCGGGTTAGTATAAAAGGGCACCCATCAAATCCCAGTAGGGGAAGAGAAGGGGAGTCCAAGAAGAAACATTCAGCATCTCTAACAGTCAAGTTCCGCACGTCGGAAGACTTGGAGAATAAAGAGGTACCGTTTGTCGGTATCTAGTTTTTTCATATAATTTCAGCGAATTTGCAATTTTTCTCGAAGTATTTTCACAAGTTTGGCAGGAGCGGGTTTTCGGGGCAAGCTGAGCCGTAGAAAAGTGGAGATGTGGGGCGGCGTAGAAAAGATTGCGTGTAATGCGGCCACGCGGGGTCGCAAACCGCCATCAGCGCCACCCGTCCGCCAACCGGCACTTGCCTTTGCGCGCACCTCCCGCGCACCGCCCTCCCTTGCACATATATCCCGAATATCTCCTTTCCCTAAACATCTCCTCCCCAGTTCCACCTTCTCCCTCCCCCTCCTACGTCCCCCTCCTACGGCCCCCTCCTGAGGGATGGGATGGCGTGGAAGCCCTCCCGCCAGCACAACACCATGTCATCCGTGCACTCACTGTACGTGATCTACGACGCGGACGGGACGGTGACAGGCGAGGTGGTGTACATTGTGAAGAAGCTACTGGGT